ATCCTATGAGAGTTCGTAAGTCGAAACGTTCGTATGTCGAGCCGTTCGTAAGTCGAGACCCCAAGTCGAGCTTGGATGACACGACAGCTGACCAATGGTTAACTGAAGGAGAAAAGGAGGGAAAGCAGTTCGAATTCCCCACCATTTTTCCAGTGGTATCTCAAAGTGCCCCTGGCAAGTTAAAGCAAAATTTTTGTGGCCAGAGCCGGTCGTAACTCGAATTGGTCGCAAGTCCAGACGTTCGTAAATCGAGGCACCGCTGGTAACGACAAGCCACCACTGCACAGGCAGAACTCTCCTCCAGGCCCCTCTAACTCTGACCGCTCATGACGTTAAAAATACCCCGGAAATCCGGGGCTTCCGTTAAAGCAACGGGGTTTGAAGCGGGGGAGGCAGACCGTCCCTTTCCTCTAACCGGCCCCGCCCCCCCCTTGCAACCACCGCAGGTGCCTTCAGCTGCGGCCCTCCGCCCCTCCCTCACGCATGCGCACAACTCATCACCTAGACTTAATTCCCGAAGGCCGTGTTGATCGAGCGAGACGCCGGCTCTCCGGTTCCCGCCGCACCGTTTGCCTCGGGGAGACTGGCCTTCCTCCGGGAGAGAAGCAAGACCGGGAATGCCTTCGCCACTTTAAAAGGAGAAATACGGCCCCGCCGCCGCTCAAGACATTTCTGGGGCTTGCGGAAGTGACGACAGAGAAGGGCGGAAGCGTGTACGTACCATAGATATTGTAATAGTAGAGGGACGTATCCCTATCTCTGTCTGGTTTCGTTACTAATTTCCATTTCATGCTGAAAGGATAAGAAGCACCTTAAAACTGAGTGTTCCCTTTCGGCTGGAAAGTGCCTATAATTTTCTGAAACTGGATTTTCTGTTGTACAGATAAGGCTTCCGCTTGGAATCCCAAAACAGCCTCCACTGGACGGATGATGATGACTGTGGCAGACAAAACAATGTCACCGGCTGCAGTAATTTTATTTAACGCGCTTGTTAAATTTTATTTTAACAAGCCTGATAACATCACGACGCGTTTCTTCGCAGGGCTGATCTCTGGCAGCGGTGTCCTTCCCGGCCTGCAATACGGCGAAATTAGGGAATTGTATGGCCGTTAATTTTCTACCCCCCCCCCGTCATCACGGAATAAAACTTCGCGCGTGAACGTGGGATATTTGCTTCGGTTGAGGGAAGCGAAGGCAGGCTCTCATAGGTCCCAGTACAGACACTTATAAGAAAGACACTTATAAACCTTGTTATGTGCTTGTTTTGTTCTTCTGCCCCGATTCCTGCCACGGCACTCGGCCCTGTCTCGTTTCTCTGTGGGGGAAAAAAGAAGGGGGGGAGAGAAAGAGAGTGGCCTTGCCTGGCCACTCTTCGTTTTTCAGCCCAGGGTTTATGACCGCCCCTGTGAGGTCGAGTGTCGTCGGCATAAACAGTGGGGCGGAGGGAGGCCCGAGCGAGGAGGGGGCGTGGTGGCCACCACAGACAGCCTCGGCAGCGGCGCTCGTGGCATCGGCGGCACCTCCCTGCTTCTTTCTCAATGGGAAGGAAGTGAAGCAATAACGGCGGTGGCCATGGTGAAAACGGTGGGCGCAGGTGAGGACTCTGTGTGTGCGTGTGTGTGTGTGTGTGAGAGAGAGAGAGAGAAAGTGTACTGCCGAGACCCTTCAGCGTGCTTGCGGGCGGCCTAAAGCGCCCGAGCGGCGAACGCTCACCCTCTTCCGAAGGGCGCCAATGGAAAGCGGGCGGGGGTGGTGGTGACGGACCCAGGCAGAAAGCATGTTGCTGAGGGAGAGCGGTTAGGTTTTGAGGGGGCCCGGGGCGCCTGCCCCCTCCTTTCCCTCCCCTCCCCTCCCGCGCGCTTTTTCGGCGGCACGCGCTCCCTTCCGCCTCACCTTTCCCACCTGAGCTGCTTCGCCCCTCTTCCTCATCGCGCCCCCCTCCCATGGCCCTCATACAAAGGCGGGAAACGGCGGAGAAGGGAGCCTCGCCTTCCCCGGTGTTTGAAGACTTGGCTTTCTAAAACTATGGCCCGTTCACGCGCTCTTCTAGCTCCGGGCGGTGGCGTTTGATTTCGTGCGAAAGGATACCTTGTCTCCGCTTGTCTCGTCCGTTGACTTCTCTTGTCTCGTCCGTCTTGCCTTATAGTTGAGCGCTTCGTGCCTCTTTCGACCCAGTTCCCTCGCTGGCAGTTGTCATCGCTCAGATCAGTGGGGTCGCGTTCACCTTCATGTGCCTAGATGTGTGGCTTTTCGTGTCGTTGTAGCTGTATATGAGGGTTTTTTTTAAAAAAAAAAATCAGGAAACGAGGTGAATCGATCGCACGTGTTAATGGCTGCTGGAGAGCAGGAGAACTGCTGGCGCCGAAAGGTACTAAACGGGGGTTGCGCCGTTGGCAGCATCAGCTTGAGAAGATTCAAGGTCGTCATCCCCACGTTTTGCAACACACGTTGTCTGCAGTGATAGCCACCGTGCACGGGGAAGCCTTGCAATTGACCTTGCGCTGTGTGCAATACACGCTTGGGCTATATCCCTATCATGTGGAGAAGGACAAAAAGAACCAAATCCTTATCTTTTCTTATTTCCCTTTCCCCCAGCCAACTGCTTTTTGTATAAAGGTTTGAGAATACACAATAATCTAAGTCATTATTTTCTTTCTGTCATAGGTCGGTAGAAAATACCTTGAGCTTTTTCTGTTCAAACAAGTTGGTGGTGTTGTGATATTCAGATAATTTTTAACTTAAGCTGCAGCGTTTTGTTGCACAGTACTTTGTAGGAGCTATATGTGGTATCCACCAAAATTTTAAAAGTGAAAGTTAAATTCTGGTGCTTCAGACTTTTGTGTGGCTGCTCACTGCAGTGAATCTGGGTGAGATCCATTGATCCAAGTCTATAAGATTGTTGTTTCATAAAAGAGAGAAAAAAAGAAGATAGCTAATGGGCATGTGGTTGATTTATTATTTTAATTAAATCTTTAAAATATTTATATTCCACTTTTCTCCTGAAAAGGACCCAAGGTAGCTTACAGTGATAAAAAGAAGCAATGTTCAAAGTTGAAAGCAATAAATTACTACAATGTTTCAAAATACGTAAGAATATAATACTAAAACTAGTACAGTAGATTGAAACAGTACTAAAGCATATTAAAAGCAACATGACTGCAAGATGCTACATAGTTATACAAAAATCAAACTTTCTTGTAAGGACCACACAGCAGGCTGGTATAATGCAGTTAGACAAAGTAAAATGCTTGTAGCCTCATGCACTACTCTACTGTATTGGACCAAACTGTAAAATAAAGGTTGTGCTGCTGGATCCTTTACTTTCCAGTAGGTTCTATTTCTTTCAGGAGCTATTTATTGGTGGTAAGAAGGTTTAAGATTGTAGCCATATAAGCAGTGAAAGTAACAATTTTAATATCATGTGAGGACTACTTGTAAAATATAGGCTGTAATTCTGCTGCATAGCTGCACAAGTGTAATAGACTCATGGCAGCTACTGTATAATAGCACTAAGATGGAAGTGCTATTCACAACCATGCAACCAATTGTGTGATCAGATTGCATTGCCTGGGTATAACACCTGGCAAACTATTTGTCATAATAGTTCCCGGAAACTTGACGGTTTTTGGTTTTGTTTGTTGGACTGATTGTTTTAACAATCATGAAAGTTTTCCTGTTTTGTTACTTTCCCATGGCTAATGCAATACTTTTGGTCCAACCATGCATATAAAACACTGTAACATTGAACATAAAACTTTGAAACATTAATAGTCTTTATATGTGTGAAGGCTTTCACGGCCGGGATCTAATGGTTGTTGTGGGTTTTTTGGGCTCTTTGGCTGTGTTCTGAAGGTTGTTCTTCCTTACATTTTGCCAGAACAACCTTCAGAACACAGCCAAAGAGCCCGAAAAACCCACAACAACCATTAATATTCTTTGTTACTAAGATCTATCAAATTGTTACAGTGTTACTTAAATCCCTGTTGTCATCTCTCATACTAAAATGGATTCATTTTTGTAATCTTTACTGTGAAAGTAACCAAATTTGCTTTGTTCTGAACTGAGATTCATTTTTCTCTCTGAAATATAGCACTTGTGGTAAAATAATTAAATGAACAGTGAAAACCGCTGCATAGTGAAAGATACAGATAGCCTTTACAAATGTTTTCACATACCTTGCTTGAGTTGGGTTTTTGTTTTTTGTTTGTTTTTATTTTTGTTTTTGCTTCCAAAAGTTCTCCAAAAACATTCTCCAAACATAATTCTGGATGTTTCTGCCTGCAGACTGATACCTACAGAAACCTATATTTTACCTACCTGTACTGGGACCTATGAGACTATGACTCCTGGGAAGCATAGCAGTAGCTTCCTTTTTTGGTACATTAACAACATGAAGAAAGAACAAAACAGCCATGCAGCCTCCAACTTTAAGGTTCTGTAGATGCGGTTCTATGGGATGGAGAATTCTGGGAGTTCGAATCAGGAGAGAGAGCGATAATATGGCACATCTGTTGCTTGATGTGCATGTATTGCTATCTTAAACCTGCTTGTGCCTTTTGGGAGAATGTTTTTGGATTCTTTTTTTCCCTTGTTTATTTCAAAAAAATTTCCTCCCTCTGGAGTTGGTTTGTTTCTTTGTTGGTTGGTCCTCTTTTCTTGGATTATTTTTGTGCCTCGCCTAGTTGCTGAAGTCTGCTGGACTCAAGGAAGAAAAGAAAAGGAAGGTGGAGCACAGAGAAATATCCCCACATTCTAGTTAGTTTGGGTTTTAACTGTATTTCCCCCTTTTATTTGCTTGCTTGATTTTTTTTCTTTCTTTTTAAAAATTTTCAAAGGAGGGTCTATGTGTGTTTTTATTTTGCTGTTTTTTTCCCATGTGTGTCTTTTCCATGTAGTTTTAAAAATTATTTGGTTAATTATATGTATTTATTCTCTTAAAGGTGTTCATTTTAGTGGGGTTTTTGGGGGGGACTGCTTTTAATGGGCTTTTAGAGGGAGCTGTTTGATTCTTTGTGGTGGATTTTGTGATTTTGCTAGTATTCTACTGGACTGTGAAGATGGTTATTATTGTTTGAGCACAGCGTAGGCATTTCTCTCTTGTTCTCCTTGGTGTCGTGTTGGTAGTGGTTACTTTATTGAGTTGCTGTTTCTATGTGCCAGCAAGCTCTAGTGTCTACCTGCCTAGCTGCTCCCTTGTCTTTTTTTTCTTCATTTTTTTGAAATTATGTTATTCAAGTTTATAGGATCTGTTGCTCTGGATGATTGACACTGAACTCATATTGCTGTAGTATTGGTGTCTGTTTAGGTCTGATGATTTTTTCCCCTTTAACTTGTGCTTTTGGAGAAGATTGGTTCTCTGTTGCTTTGACTCTGCTTTTTTGGAGTACCATATTTTCTATGTATAAGACACCACTCCCCCACTTTTCTAACCAAAAATTAAGAAATCTAAGTGTGACTTAGCAAGCAATGTTGGAAAGCAGGGATCAAAGCACTGCAGGATTGCTTTGATCCCTGATTTCCCCTTTCTGCTATGCCCACTTAGCACTTGTGAAGAAAGTGGAGGGGAAAGGCAGGGATCAAAGAACTTTGATCCCTGCTTTCCCCCTCCACTTTCTTGTGAAGAAAATGGAGGGGGAAAGCAGAGACCAAAGTGCCACATGATCTCTCTGATCCCTGCTTTCCCCTTTCTGCAGCGCTTTGATCCCTTTCCCTTTGATCCAGCAGCGCTTTGATCCCTTTCCTCTCCTTACTTCCATGTATAAAACAACTCTCAATTTTTAGTCTAACAATATTAGACAAAAGTCATCTTATACACGGAAAGATACAGTAGTTAGGGTTCTTTAAGGCTTTGGGGTGCTAGAAAGCGCAAGGGGGAATGCAATAGAGGCTTTCATTTTCATGTAAAACAAAAGAATAAGTGCACCAAAAATTTGAAAATTAAAGAGGCACCCCGAAAGAACCTGAAATGAAAAAGTACTGAAATGTTCATCCTGTCCATCCCTAAACGTTACTCTTGTTATGATACATGAATGTGCAGTCAGACTTACAAAGGAAGACTGTGTTTGCGTTTCAGTGATCTGTTGCATTGATGCATTTCCCCAATATCCTGTGACACAATTCTTTCTGCCTTCCTGGATATACTTCTCTCTATTGCTATAACAGAAACCCTGGATTGCAATTACTAGTCCACCAGGAAGAAAATGCTTTGTTTTACAAAAGAGTGGTGTGCCTAAAAATGTGTAGAAGGGCAGGGATATCAGGATGTTGCATAGCTCCCCTCTCCTCCCCACAGACTCTTTGCAAAACAGATTCAGTGGCTGTTATCTGTAACAAACTGGATGAGGGTGGACAAACTGAATCTTAATTCTAGCAAGACCAAAGTGCCATTTATCAGTTGTAAAGTAGATCATGGAATAAAGATTCAATCTATGTTTAATAAAGTTATTGCTCCCCCTGAAAACTCAGGTTAACAGTTTGGGTGTACTCCAGGATTCTACCCCATGTTTTGTCCCAGTTTTAGTGTTGACTAGGAGTGCATTTGCATAGTTAAAGTTTGTGCGCTAGTTGCACCTATTCCTAGTATTATATGACTTG